TCCTCACCCTTCTTACTCCCATTCCCCCACATATGCAGCCACTTTGTGAACTTATCTGCACATTCAAAGTAGATGCAGCAGATGGTGATGCTAATTTTCCTCATCAAATTAAGAAAGAATTCCTCTTCTACTAGGATGGTCATCCTGGTTCTCCAAAACAGTGCCATTTATGTATTGGTTAAACCTCAGCCCTGGGAAGCATCTATTGTTATCTGCAAAACTAAACACTTCCAAAAGTAATTTCTAGCCATCTGTTGGGGGTTTTCTACTCAACAGATGGAGGCAGCTTGAGCAAGTACCTGAATTTTTGTAATGGTAGCTGGCTCCAGTGAGCAAACATGCATTAGAAGTCAGAAGCATTGGGTTCTATATTCCTGGCTCTATCACTGAAACCAAATCACTTGGGCACCTAAATCCTCTACTGGATGTACCTCCAAATCCAAAATTGTCACCCTGAAATGCCAGCTCAGCCACTGCCCAGCCCTTGAGGCACCTAAACTCCACACAACTTGACATTAAAGTTCCTCAGGTGCTTAGGTCAAGCCCAGAACTGCCACAGCTCTGCTCAGGGCTGAGTAGCTTGGTACTGAGGTCACACCTAACCTTTCCTGAGGTGGTAGGATGCCAGCTTTCTGGATCCAAGTGCTGTAAAGGCCCAATCTGGTAGGTGATCTCAAAGCACATCTTGCACACTCACTGCCAGAACTGGGTACTTCACAACTCAGGGGAGGCAAGGAGCATATCCCTATACCCTAGTGGCCAGGGCACTCATTGGGGTTGCCCCAGGTTCTGGTCCCTGAACTGTTAATGCATTTTCCCGTGATTGTTTAATGGACAGAAAAGGGAGGCACCTACTTCTTGTCTTCCACCTGTATTTTGCGAGAATAGGTTAGCTTATGTGCTAACTCCTTCAGAGAGGTCACAGCACTTTAAGCTTAAGTAGAGGAAAGTGCCTCCTTGCAGCCCGATGTAGGGGTAAACCAGACCCTGCCTCATGCATTTCCAACTTGTCCGCTGATTTCCAACTTGTCCGCTGAAAGGATGCCCTGCTTTACATGCCAGCTGGTGAAGACCCCATTCCTCAGCCTCCAACTCTCCCCAGGTACTGACGGAGCCCTGGGGCTGCAGATTCTACTAAGTGGGAAGATCTGCTAGAGGCATGGAGGCACCCTCAAAGTCAGGCCCCACAATGCTGAACACAGGAGTGGAAGCCCTTCTTGTGGATCTGACTCCAAGGGGTTAGCAATTTTATCACAACTTAAAGATGTGCAGCAGACAA